TAACTGTACACACACACACACACACACACACACACACACATAACTTGTTGATACATTTTCACAGATTATACCACAAGAAGGCTATTTATCCTTAGTTCCTTCCATCTCTGCAATTTCTGACTAAACTAACTTGTTTATCGCCTAGGCATTAGGTAAGCCACTATTTGGAGCAGTGACATTTTCCCTCCTGCTGATGCCCTTTTTACCAACCTTCATGCTTAGCTGTCTGGAATATTTTATCTTTCACCTAAGTTCTCTCTGCAAAGCTCCTTGCTGCTTCTCTGTAATTGAGCTTGATCATACAGAGCATTGTTATCCTCCTGACTTTGTACCACCTAGCACTTCTAGGCTTCTTCCCAATTTTTCATTAGCTTGGAAGGAATATGGAGAAATGCATTTATTTAACCTATAATAATAGGCAACATAAAATGATTTTCTAGGTTTTTTGTTAGAACTAGAGATTAGTTTTATATTTTCCAGGTGGTTTTTCTTGAGTATGTTTACCGCCTCATGTTTGCATAATTGTATTTTTTTACTACTGTATTTTTATTTAGCTTTTAAATAGGAAGATGAAAACAACACACATTTTCAGATAGTCAAGCTACAGTTTGTTTGCTATTCAATGTGGATTTGAATTAGCTTTGTAGAAGTCCTAATAAATGACTCAAAAAGGGTAGTTTGAAATCCAGTAGAAATTTCAATAGTTAAAATGCAGACACTAAAAGTCACTGGGGTAACTTTACTCGGAACTTAATTAAATAAACCTCATTACCTCACTATCTTTAAGCATCTGCCTCTGTACACCTAAGAAAACCAAGTTTAACAGTAAGTTTTATTTATAGAGAATTTTATTTATAGGTGATTTATAGAGTAAGTTTTATTTGTAGAGGATTTAATTCTCAAAAGTTACTTTGATAAGATATTAAAATGCTAATATTTTGGGGGACAACCAGAGCAATACCTAATGAAATATCTCTGGGAGGATTCCAATAAATCTAAATCTATAACTTAAAATTGTTCAAATTGAACATTGTATAATACATTTCTAAATTTATTAGAAGTGATAGAAAATGAATACATGTGAAGTTTATTTATTCATTTTGATGTGGTTTATTTATTTATTCATTTTGACCCAAGGTCTCACTCTGTTGCCCAGGTTAGAGTGCAATGGGAGGATCATGGATCACTGTAGCCTTGATGTCCTGGGCTCAAGCAATTCTCCTACCTCAGCCTTTCAAGTAGCTGGGAATACAGACGTGCACCATCACACAATTTTTTTTTTTTTTAATTTTCTGTTGAAACAGTTTTGTGAATTGCCTGGGCTGGCCTCAAACTCTGGGCCTCAAGAGATCCTCCCACCTCAGCTTCTCAAATTGCTGGGCTAGGAGATGTGAACCACTGAGGCTGGCCAAGATGCAATGTTCAGATGTGATTTGTTTGCTTTAAGCATCAAATGACTCCAGTCTTTTCACCATATGTTTCTGAATAGTTCTTTTATATTTTTAAATGTCACAGTGACTGAAGATATGTTGACACACAAATTTGTGGAAGCATTTTTGATATATATTTGGAATCTTTTTTTTTTTTTTCTGAATCTCAATTTTGGTGGTTTTTTTTTGTTTTTGTTTTTGTTTTGTCCCTTTGAGATACACACACACACAGAGTCACACACACACACTGTTTTGCTCAAATTTTGTAACTCTATTCAATCATCAACCTTATTTGAATAGTGTTTTGCCCTGCTTTGGGAAAAAGTAGAGAGTGATGCTGTCCCCACATCATTACACACTTAAGATTACGGTACCCGTTTACTACTAGTCATGGCTCAAATTTACGCATTTCTAATTATGTGGAATGCACACCACATACGTTATCTCATTTAATCACCACACCACACAAGGAAGTTAATATTTATTCTGCTAATTCACAAGAAGTAATTAACATGCAGAAAAGTTGGAGAACATGCTATCAACAACTAGTACCTAAAAAGCTGAGATTTAAACCCAGATACTCTGACCTCAAAGTGTCTCCTCTTATCTTTTGTGATCTAGAGCCACAGGCTTAATAAGTAATTAGTTATTTAATAATTCAAAGAAAGAAATAACTTTCATCCAATGTCTGTACTCGTATTTCAACCTTAGCTACTTTAATGAATATTAATTTATTGAAACAATGGTAGTCATGTTAGAAAGCAGGAAGTAACATTTTTTAAGGTAGACGCAGGTGAAAAATATTAGAGGCCTAAATCCTTTTTTTATTCAAAATTAAATAATGGTAAGAAGATCTGTGAAGGAAATCTGATATTAAAATATTGGCTACTTATGTTAATTAGAGATAAATAACAGGGAGATAGAATTATTGCTAATTTTAATATTCAAATATTATAAAATTATCAGTTCTCATTTCAAGTTGTTTTGTGGTCTAAATAAGACAATGGAAATTATATGTAATTCAGAATCCAAAATTTTTTCTACATTCCTTTATTTGCAAGAACTTTAACTCCGAAACTATTCAGAGGTAGGTTGAACTCATTGTTCTGGTTCTTTTTAATTGAATTATTTATAAAACTAAGAAAAACCGTAACATAGTTTTAGGCATTTATGATGTACACAAAAAAACAGTATACCTTCTGGCAAGTTTTTGCTAGATGATTAGTAAATATTACTATCTGTTCAAAATATCGTCCCCTCTTCCCGTTTCTCAGAGAGAATACATCAAAGTAAATATGTCTAGACCAGTCCACAATATATTCTATTAACATATTTATTTGTAATAAAGTCATGTAACCAAGACATTTATTGATTTATTGGTATCTCACTCTTTGCAAAATGAAGCTGTATCAAAGGGACTTAGGTAGATGGACCCTTAATCATGAATAACATATTACTGAGATTTAAAAATATTTGAGTATGGTACAGTTTTCTAAAATTCTATCAGAACATGCAGCTAACAATATAAAGCATTCTTCAATGTTTTATTAAAATAAATGGTCAATAAATTTAATCTTAATAAAATATCCTCTTTATAGAACTATTTTTGGATTAAACCTGAAGATGTTTGGAAAAAAAAATATATTAGAAGGATACTTTTTACTAGCTATCATTATAGGTAAAGATAGACTATTTAAAATAAATGTGAAAAATTAAAAGAAATATAATTCAATCTAAGAGTAATATGCAGTAACTAAAATAAGCAAAATTAATCAGTATCAATACAATTAAGTTTCAAGTCAAATATGTATACGTAAATGTGAACATTTTGTGTGCAACACAGTTTTAAATTAAAATGGAATATCTGTCAATTTAAAATGTTGAGTTAGTTATCGCCATTTGGAGATAAAAGAATTAGATAACAATTAAACAAAACACATAAGAAGTACTTGCTATATTTAAAAGTGATTTTTTCTAAAAATAAGCCAATAAAATAAAAAATTTTAAAGTGGATAAAGTGAGCATTTTATGTGGGAAAATCATTTCTCAACTTTAGAACTAACCGAGAAACCACTCTAAAGAATATCGACTCAAAGTCTAAATATTATTCCCACAAAACTTCAGTATAAGCAACATTTAAAGAAGGAAGACAAAATAAATGGACATATATATGTATTTTTTATTATTACATTCAGAAGGAAAGTACGTGTCTTCAATATATGGGATTGGGAAAACTGAACATCCACATGCAAAACAATAAAATTGAACCCTTACATTTCATCACATACAAAAATTAATTCAAAATAGATTAAATATTTAAATGCAAATAAAATGTAGTGGGAAAGCTCGTAGATATTGGTCTTTGCAATGCTTATTTATTGTGATATGGCATCAAAAGCACTAGCAACAAAACAAAACTAAACAAGTGGGGCTACATCAAACTAAAACGCTCTGTATGAGTTGAGAATAACACAGGGTGGTTGCAGGAGAATAGAACATTTTAGATGGCAGTTTTCCATGTCTAGCAAAAGGAAGCTGTGAAATAGCTTCATAGGCTAGGGACTGATAAGTCCCAGAAAACCAGGGTGTAGAATAAGCTGGCTAAGACTGGCTAGACCCAAGATTGCACTGAATTTGACCTGGATTTCACCTATGACATCATTATACACTTATCAACATACAAAATCCCACAATCACCAGTACCATGACAGTTCCTGGGACACCCATATTTGGTGTAAAAATAGGTGGTGCCACAGTTTTGAGAAATCCTTACCTTTTTCCAGCAGAAATTGAAACAGAAACATCAGATTGGATTGGGGATTTGATTAATAAGAAAAAAAAAACTGTGTTTGAAACTGTGTTCTTAAAGATTGGGAAGAAGACAACTCAGATGCAAAGGTGGCAGAAGTTCTAAAGATCAATTTGAGCCTTTGTCAGAGTTACACTCAGCAGTTTACAAAGTAGAAAGTCAATAGAGCTAAGACTTACAGTGTGCAGAGTACAGGTGGAGAGAGGGAGATCTAATCTAGGAAAGAAGAAAGATCAGGTCAAGAAATATCCCTGGGACTTTCTGTCCCTATCTTCCTTTAGCAAAGGATTTAAAAGTAGTGGGGGACTGTTAAACTGGCAATACTAGGTAAAGAACAAGTCATTAAATGAGGGAAAGCATCAGTGAGTTATCAGTATCAGTATTTCTGACTCCTGGAGCACGAGATGAGGCAGACTTGCAAAAGAACTTGTTGGGCCTAAGGCCCTGGGAGGGGCCTGATTCTTCATTAGTCCTTGGCACAGTAACTGTTTTGCTTCAGAAATGTTTTAAAAAGTAAATGCATTGATAAAAGAGAAGCCTGAAAAAACTTACAAAAGCAAGCAGTATCCTGAGCTACCATGAAACAGTAGAAATCTAACATGTGGAAGGTGAGACAACAAGTTTTTTGATTGTTTGTTTTGTGAGGAACTTCTAGATTGCTGAGTGAAGGTTGTAGAAAAATTGAATTCCACTGACAGGAAAGCATTGAGAAAGTTTCATTTTCTGAAAAGACCCAAAGTGCCTTGTGTAAGTGATAGTAGAATGCTGTGGAAATCTTACAAAAGAGTCTTCAAGTAGCATTTTCTTTCCTGCCTGAATTAAGGTGTTAATTTCAAGTCTAGTATTGCCCTGTCACCAATAAAAATCTGCAGCAGTTATTAATAAATTTAACTTTGTTATTTGGGTGGAGAGAAGGGTTCATAAAATAATTTTTGACCATGTTTTAACAAAAGTCCACGAAAGACCCCAATTAAAAACTGATAGCTACTTTGTCAAAACTCTGTTTCATACCTGAAAAGCATCTTGTTTCTTGTAAAATTAACCATAGGTACATCTGTGTTTCTTCTCTGTGGTTACTATGAAATTAACACAGAACTAAAAATAAAGCATGGCATAATTTAGCATAGGTAATAATTTAGATATCTCCATACATTTACCGTTGTAAATTACTGTTGTTTTGGTTAATTTTATGTATAAATTTTTCTGTATTTAGGACCAAAATATTTAGAAATTATTTGTAAAAGTACAAAAAATAATAGTGGTAAACATAATGCATTGGGAAAACTAGAACATGTGAAACCAATTCTACTTGGTAATATAAATGTAATATGAACTACTGAAATGCAGCCTGTTAAATTCTTTTAATTGAGCTTTTGGTGTCAAAGTTTACAATTTGGTAGCCTTTGCTGGCACTGACATTTAGATGTTTAGAGTAGGACAAATGCAGTTCTAGGATAATTGAACATCTTTTCATCATAAGAAATTTAAATAATGGAAGCTTAACACCAAATCTACTTTGGATAAGAGATAAATTAGGACAGTAGGGCCCATGAAATCACAGGACTTAAGGTAATTTTGGGTGAAACATTAACATTACATATTTATTCATTGATATTGCCTCTTTCTTTTTTTTTTCATTTTTCAAGAATAAAATATATTATTAACTAGAGTCACTATGTTGTCCAGTGGATCTCTTGATCTTATTTTTCTAACTGAAAATTTGTATTCTTTGATAAATATCTCTCTAACTCCTAAGCCCAACCACCCCAGCTAATGGAACCTCTGTACTACTGTCTACTAACTACCAGATTATCTTTTTATAATTCAACAAATGAGTTAAATAAGGCAGTATTTGTGCTTCTCTGACTGGCTCATTTCACTTAGCATAGCTGGGATTACATGTGTGTGCCATCACGCTTGGCTATTTTTTGTATTTTTAGTATAGAAGGGTTTTCACCATGCTGGTCAGGCTCATCTTGAACTCCTGACCTCATGATCCACCAGCCTCGGCCTCCCAAGATGCTGGGATTGCAGGCATGAGCCACTGCAACCAGCAAATTATTTTTAGTATCATAAAATATTAATATATATATAGCAATATCAAAGCTAGTGAAAAGTGGGAAAATAGAAATATTTACTCTCCTCTCAGACTGAATATAAAAGACATATTAGGAATAATAGCTGATTATTTACATTTATAATTTTTCTGCTCCATGTCTATATTAATTGAAGAAATTCCTATACTAAGATAAAGTATTCCATGAAGAAGTTTACTGAGAAGTCTCTGGAAGATAATCTTTGAGGAAGTGAAGGAGACTGGATTGGGAAGAGCAAGAAGCTAACCAGTAACGTGATTGCACATGAGACATTACCGAATCATAGGGGTAGCTTGGGAGTTACCCCTTTCCAATGTGGCCTTTCCAATTTGTCCCAAATTGAAGCAAGGCTGCTGTTTTGAATTTCTGCATCATGGAAAACTGGTTGGCTGCAGGGTGAAAATGCAACTTTGGGCTGGGTCTATCCCTTTGACCAAAGCAATTCCAATTAACATTTGAAACTATAATCCATCTGTGACAAAATTTTCTAGCAGCTAGTGGATATATTTGCCCTAAAGTGGGATTGGACAGAACATGGCAGTATTTACTGCAGGAAATATGTATGTTAGAAGGTGATAAATCTTTCAGAGAGCGATGAAACAGGGCAAAAAATCTCTTGTGACTGAAAGGGTCAGATTCTGGCAGAATGAGTTTCAGGTACAAGATGGCTTTATAACACCTACACTTTTTGAATGCTGGGCATAAGTATATATTGTTTTCAAGGATATACTAACGTAATGTTATTTAGCACAGAACAGTTCCGAGTGTACAGTTTTACTGCTACTCTATAATTGTTTATCACAATGCTTATGATTAGTTAATTAAAAATAAGACCCAATGAAATACTCTGGGTACAGCTTCTTAAATTGGATGTGGCATTTTCTTTCACACCATTTTTTTTTAACAGCATTTCTGAGAGGTCTGCACTTCCTGGTGCCTAACTCAATTCTTGCATTTTTTTCCCAATGAGTTTCTATAATAGTTTTTCTGAAAAGGAAGTATAGCACAAAGATGAAAGTATAGTTTTTGCAGTTAAGACTATTTTTGAATTCCAGATTTCCAATGTGACATTGGGCAGGAGCTTAAACATTTAAGCCTCCATATTTTTTTCTTTATAAAATATTTTTTTCTTTGTAAATTAGAGTAATCTTGTTAATGATAAAACAAGCAGAAGTATGTTAAGTGCTTAGGATAGGACATGACACACAATAACCATTCATTAAACTGTATATTTATAATATAATATGTGATTGAAGTAGAAGCAGCTATAGCAGTAACAACAAGATTGCCCTGATTCACTCTTAAGCAAGCTCTTTCAGCATAACTCACTGTTTCTACTAAATTTATGTGAATAAATTTACCATAAAAGGAGTAAAGGAGTATTAATTAAACTGATCAACCATACATAGTCTTAGAATGTTGCCTATTGCCAAATTACACAGTGCTATAGATCGCTAACATTTTTTACACCTGTTTCTGTAGGCGCAGTATATTTATGCATACATGTTTATAATAGTTATAAAATTTAATTATAATTAAATAATTATAATATGAACTTCATTAAAATATACCAAAATTTAGTACAGGTTATTTGAAGTTTTTAAAACAAATATTAATATCGAAGCTATCAGAGTACAAATTTTAAATGTGAGCAGGACAGGTGATGCATGCATGTTACCATGACAACCCCATAGAAAGACTTTAAGGAATCAGGAAAAAAAAAAAAAAAGTGATTTTGCCTTCTCTAGTGAAATTTCTACCTTATTGCCTGAAAAGGAAATAAAGTGATTCTTACGAATGATTTATTTTGAACAAGTCACTGTAATATAAATGGAATAATCTTTGGAGAATAAAGAGGCCCTGGGAAGTATCCTGTTGAAGGAAAAATAACAAATACAAGTGGGTATTTTTGCTTTAGTTTAATAAGAGCAGAGGAACTAATCATTGACTCTAAAAGAAAAGTCTATGTTTCAGACTATCTAAAGACTCTGGGAAGCAAAATAAAATGTAACTCATAAAGTTGAGGAACTGAATATGGTCATTTTGAAGATAATTTTAATTTTAAATTTAGATGTCGTCTACTGGGCCCTAGAAAATTCATTTTCTAAATTTAATGATTTTTTTTCTCTGAACTAGTTACAAAGTGGAACATTTACTATTAACACTATTTAGAAATTACAATAGAATAAGTATACAATTTTCTATTGGCTATAAGTCAGAATTATGTTTATATAATGCTGAGAACATAGTAGGCATTCAATATATATCTGCTTTAATGATTGAATTTAGACTTTTGGGATACCTAAAATGTTTGTAATATTGGAAAATAACTAAATAAGATGCCAAACAGGAATTCTGCATTGTGAGCTTTGTTTTTTAAACTCTATATAATCATATTTGGACCAATCCCTGTTCTGATCATATCCCTTGCATTATACCACTATATCATATTTTCAAGGCAAATTGCAGACACAAGATTTTTATAGTCGATGATTTTTATTTTATATGAGAGAAACACATTTATATCCCTAGGCGGACATAATGAGGAGTTGAGAAATTGCAAGTCTTCCATTAAACAACATCCCTTTGGAGCTAGGAAGCATTTATTCTTGAGAATCATTTGGGAATGCAGCAGAAAAACATGATTTGGACAATGACTTGTTTTACAGATATGCAGAAAAACCTGAACTGGACGATAAATTGATTCAGATCAAGAATAAAGCATTTATTTAGTGGCAGAATATATATCTCATATTGAGCCTATTGTATTTAGAACCTTGAGCAACTCAATTCTTCTATATGAATATATTTCTTACACATATATACTTACATATGTACATTTTTGACATGTATGCATATATATATATTTTTACTAGGAAAACATCAACATAAAGAATTTTCTGATTTGTTGAGTATACTGCATTCTAAAGGACAGAACTCCATACTGGGAGAGTATTGCCTTTGAACTGGGACTTCTGTTGTGCTTTCAGTAGATCTTCCCTATGAACTATCAGGTCAGAATAGTCTGGATAGTCCAGAAGTTATATCATGAAGTGACTAGTATTTTACAAGCTTACTTCTGAATCCCATTTACCATAAAGTACATTTGCTAGCCCAATAGAATGTTAAGTAGGATACAATTGTAATGGTTCAAATTCTCTGTAAAACATTAGATTGTAGTGCCAACTGAGGCCCTGAGGCAGAATAATTTTCTAAACAAAAAGTGTTACCAGGAGGTTGAGGAGTTCCAATGTAGTCAAACTGAAATCACGAGGACAGTTGATCTCCTCAAAACGTTGAGGCACATCATGAGCATAGTGTTGGTGTCTATTGCTAGGAGAATAGAGATCTAGAAGTAGCAGTAGAAGGCCTTATCTTGGTAACAAGGGATATGAATTTGCACCAATGTGAGTCACCTGTTTCTGCTACTCTGGCCACTTTCTTCACATGTAAATCATGCCAGCACAACAGACAGTCTGTTGTCAACTGGTCTAATCATTTGCTAATTTGGTTGGTTAGTTCATATGCTGTGAATTATCATTTGTTAATTTGGTTTGTTAGTTCATATGCTGTGAATTCAGATGCCATATATATATATATATATATATATATATATATATATATATACACATCTACCTTTGACTTTATATTGAATTTTCCATTTTCTTCTCTTCCCAATCCCTGACCAACTTACTAAAGAATTTATCTCTGTTTATGAGTTCATATATTATAAACATGGCCCACAAAAACTGGATGAATAGGTACACTCTCTGAAGATATGGCCATCAGGAAGATTTTCTCTTGTTAATATCTTTCAACATTATTTCTGATTAAAGCTCTAGTGCAGTTCCTATGTAAGCCAACTAATTCATAGACTAAGTGCAGGCATTTTCCTCTTTCTTCAAGTGGTGAGGTAGGATCTGCAATATTGTTAAAGGTATGAGCTGAGTGAAGCCCTTGGATACAACAATGGAATATGGCATGAATGACTGGGCTTCTTGGATATGTAATTTTTGTTTCCCTCAGTTCTTCCTTTGCTTGATGCTGGATAAGGCAACTCCAGCATACTATGGATTGTTATTGTCCACCTAGATCTTATTACTCAATGGATCTGACAGTACATAGAACATAATTTATAGCACCCGCTGCATGGGCATTTCATGTCCTATAATGAGACTTTTTGTTTATACCAGGGCTTAGTAGCTGTTTCTTAAAAGGCTTTTAATTTTCTGCTAGAGGGGCAGGAATGTGCTATATAATCATCATCTTGCATTGTGGTTCTTCTGGGGCTTGCCATAAATTGCACATCCCCCTTTTTTTCCCTACAACCACCAGTACCTCCAACAGAATGTTTAAGGGTCGTTTCCCTGGCCACCAGATTTGTTGCAGAGCAAGGCTCCACTCAAAAGGAGGCACATTTTTTGTATCACCCCAAATATGATCCAGAATATTATTCTTAGATGTGCAATATAATGCCTCCAGGGTTCAAAAGACTCACCAATTTTGGCATTTCTTTGATGTATAAAGTATAAATTGCAATAATTTATTTACCTTGAAAAGGATGACCCACCACACTGCTAACCACTTTTCAAACAAGTTGAAGATGACAGCTATTTAAGCCAAACATTTTTAGAAGAAGGTCAATGATAACCTAATGGTGATAGCATTGAATCCATAAATTACTTTGGGCAGTATGGCCATTTTCACGATATTGATTCTTCCTAACCATGAGCATGGAATGTTTTTCCATCTGTTTGTGTCCTCTCTTATTTCCTTGAGCATTGATCTTCTTCATAGAACTCACTCAAAAAAAAAAAAAAAAAAAAAAAAAAAAAAAAAAAAAAAAAAGAAAAAAAACCAGAAACTTAATATGGAACCAAAAAAGAGCCCACATAGGCAAGGCAATCCTAAGCAAAAAGAACAAAGCTGGAAGCATCATGCTACCTGACTTCAAACTATACTACAAGGCTACAGCAGGCAAAACAGCATGGTACTGGCACCAAAACAGAGATATAGACCAATGGAACAGAACAGAGGCATCTGTTATTATCAGAAGTAACACCATGCATCTACAACAATCTGATCTTTGACAAACTTGACAAAAACAATCAATGCAGAAAGGACTCCCTGTTCAATAAATGGTGTTGAAAAAACTGGCTAGCCATGTGCAGAAAGATGAACTGGACCCCTTCCTTACACCTTACGCTAAAATGAACTCGAGATGGATTTAAAGATTTAAACATAAGACCTAACACCATAAAAACCATAGAAGAAAACCTAGACAAAACCATTCAGGACATAGGCATAGGCAAGGACTTCGTGACTGCAGCACAAAAAGCAATGGCAGCAAAAGCCAAAATAGACAAATGGGATCTAATTAAACTTAAGAGTTTCTGCACAGCAAAAGAAACAATTATTAGAGTGAACTGGCAACCAAAAGAATGGGAAAAATTTTTTTGCAATCTACACATCTGATGAAGGGCTAATATCTAGAATCTACAAAGAACTAAAACAAATTTACAAGAGAAAAACAACCCCATCAAAAAGTGAGTGAAGGATATTAACAGATGCTTTTCAACAGAAGACATCTACATGGCCAACAAACATATAAAAAATGCTTCTCACTGATCATTAGAAAAATGCAAATCAAAATGACATTGAGATACCATCTCAGGCCAGTTAGAGTGGCGATCATTTAAAAATCTGGAGACAACAGATGCTGGAGAGGATGTAAAAAAATAGGAACACTTTTACACTGTTGGTGGGAGTGTAAATTAGTTCAACCATTGTGGAAGACAGTTTCTAGATCCTCAAGGATCTAGAATAGATATGCCATTTGACCCAGCAATCCCATTACTGGGTATACACCCTAAAGATTATATATCATTCTGTAATAAAGACACATACACACGTATGTTCATTGCAGCACTGTTTACAATAGGAAGGACCTGGAACCAACCCAAATGCCCATCACTGATAGACTGGATAAAGAAAATGTGTCCATCATCACCTATGTTGTATAATAGATTC